ACATGTCTTTCATTTAGAGAATTTTAAGTTTTATTACAATTGTTTTTTAATTACATTATAAATATATACACAACTCATTGCCTAAAAATAACTCAACGATTATTAATTACAATTACATTATATATATTATAAATGCAATCAATTTTATTGTATAAATTAGGAGTTATTTTCGTCGCCAATATAGTACTGTATTTAGAGAAAGAAAACTATTTTATGAGATTTATTGTTAAGATTATACATATATTTTAATTCAAATTTTAGTGTCGATTATGAAATTAAAGGATTTAATGAAAACAATTCAGTGATAATACACTGACCACAAGAACTCGCGGATCAATTATAGCACGGATTAAATGTGACCCAATGGGCGGTCGGCCTGTTTTTGGCCGACTTATGCGATGTGAACAACGATTTGTATGTCTCGCTGACCATCGGGTCTTTGGCCACCGAATAGTCTTTTGACGACTTGTCCACCGGTTTGGACGTCTTGGGCGCCGATGCGGAGGCCGCGGACGACGAAGAGGTCGACGGAATGTCTGTAGCGCTGGTCTGTTGCGAGCCGTCGGTGACCTCCACTTCAGTGGCCTTTCGTTTGCGCGACTTCTTGGACTCCTTGGCCTTCAGTCGGCGCTCATTCATGCGATTCTCCAACTCTTTCACCTCTTCGTCGGACCCGTTGATGACAATCACGTCTTCCGCGGCGTACTCTTTGTTACACTTATGGCAGACGTCGGACTTGACTTCCTTGAGGGCCCTCTCGGACACCACACAACCGCACGACCGGATGTAACAGAACTTGTATTTACCTGTAGATCCAAAGCATGGGATCAATTGGATTAGACATTAAAGGCTAAGAGTTAGACATAATCGAGACTCAGACAGATATGACGGCAACAATCATATTTGTATTCTTAAGACAAATAGCGAGACAACTAACCATTCATCTCGACGCCGACCACCGGACAGACATACATCGAGTCGTGTTCATCGATATACTGGCCGTCGATCTCCGGCTTCTTATCATTGAAGTCGGACTTAACGGTCAGCCGAAGAGTGACCACATCTTTGAGCGATCGGATGTGCGCGCAGAGCGAGCCGTTCGGCGTCGACTCCCTGTCCAACAAGTACTCGATGACGGCGTCCTTGTTGTACAGCCGGCCCAACTCGCACGACACGACCGGTTCCACCAGTTTTGCGGTACTGATGGCACACGAGCGCCATTTGGCCGCCAATTGCACCGACCGGTCCGCCCGTTCCCTCTTCCGCTTCGTCCGCACCAACTCATCCCTCTTGGGTATAGTCCCGCCGTCGCATCCCATCTGCGGATCAATTCAGAGATCATTAGTGACCGTATGTTGGGATCAATTGGTGATCATCGCGATAGTGACACTGATTGTAGTCACCGCTCACTCGCACACACGTGTGTTAAGACTCACCGCGGATTATATCTGGGAAATGAATGTCCGGGTGATGTCAACAACAGTGGATTAAATGTGGAGATAATTAGTGGTTAAACTCGTGGCTGAAGAGTCTTAGATACACAAAACGATGGCTCAAAATGTCAACAAAACGTCAGCCATTTGTATGGCTGTGTATCGCTTGTGCACTGACAGTACGCTCCCCTCGCTGTCAGTGCCATAAGCTATGAGGCAATCACCGATTGGTGGCCACACCTCCTATGGGTGTGAACCTCGTGTCACGTGTTTGGCATTCCCTTAGAGATGAGACGCCGACAAATGCCTTTTAAATGCAATTTTCATATGACTTTCGCATTGAAAACATCGGACTTTTTAATCTCCCGTTTTGTGCGCTAATCAGTGGCTATGCATTTAGACATTAACTATATTTGTGATTAGGCTATGAATGGACATGGATCACATGATCGAGTCGACTAAATTAGGGTTTAGTAGGCACTGGAGGTTTTTTTTATAATGAATAGCTATTAAGTTAGATTGTATGCATGATAAGTTTTTTATATTGTATGTAAATAGTTTTTATACCGCTTGCTAATTAAGTTACTTATTATTATAAATTGTTATGATTTGTATTGATATAAAAATATATTGTTTTTGATATTTGAGGGCAATATATAGTTTGTGTGTTTGTGTTTTAGACTGTAGTGAGTAAACCGGATAAAAAAAATTTATGCCTAAAAAGTGTATAATGTTTGGAAATTTAGTTTTTGAGTTCACAATTGATTTTTCCGTTCATTTTTCGCGTTTTACAGCCTTTTTTATCGTTTAGTCTATAGTTTTTGACACTAAACTCTGAAAAAAAAGTTTATAA